AGCTATGGTTAGTATCTGTAGTGTAGAGTCCTAGTGGGTTGTTACGTGGTTATAGCTATGTTTAGTATCTGTAGTGTAGAGTCCTAGTGGGTTGTTACGTGGTTATGGTTATGGGTAGTATCTGTAGTGTAGAGTCCTAGTGGGTTGTTACGTGGTTATGGTTATGGTTAGTATCTGTAGTGTAGAGTCCTAGTGGGTTGTTACGTGGTTATAGTTATGGTTAGTATCTGTTGTGTAGAGTCCTAGTGGGTTGTTACGTGGTTATAGCTATGGTTAGTATCTGTAGTGTAGAGTCCTAGTGGGTTGTTACGTGGTTAAGGTTATGGTTAGTATCTGTAGTGTAGAGTCCTAGTTGGTTGTTACGTGGTCATGGTTATGGGTAGTATCTGTTGTGCAGGGTCCTAGTTGTTTGTTACGTGGTTATGGTTATGGTTAGTATCTGTAGTGTAGAGTCCCAGTGGGTTGTTACGTGGTTATAGTTATGGTTAGTATCTGTTGTGCAGAGTCCTAGTGGGTTGTTACGTGGTTATAGCTATGGTTAGTATCTGTAGTGTAGAGTCCTAGTGGGTTGTTACGTGGTTATGGTTATGGTTAGTATCTGTAGTGTAGAGTCCTAGTGAGTTGTCACGTGGTTATGGTTATGGTTAGTATCTGTAGTGTAGAGTCCTAGTGGGTTGTTACGTGGTTATGGTTAGTATCTGTAGTGTAGAGTCCTAGTGAGTTGTTACGTGGTTATAGTTATGGTTAGTATCTGTTGTGCTAGGGTCCTAGTGGGTTGTTATGTGGTTATGGTTAGTATCTGTTGTGTAGAGTCCTAGTGGGTTGTTACGTGGTTATGGTTATGGTTAGTATCTGTAGTGTAGAGTCCTAGTGAGTTGTTACGTGGTTATGGTTAGTATCTGTAGTGTAGAGTCCTAGTTGGTTGTTACGTGGTTATGGTTAGTATCTGTTATGCAGGGTCCTAGTGGGTTGTTACGTGGTTATGGTTAGTATCTGTTATGCAGGGTCCTAGTGGGTTGTTACGTGGTTATGGTTAGTATCTGTAGTGTAGAGTCCTAGTGGGTTGTTACGTGGTTATGGTTAGTATCTGTTGTACAGGGTCCTAATAACTTGTATATTCATGTCTGCTTTCATGACTAATCAAACTAAAAATTAGGATAACCAGGAGCTCCTGCTTTGAGATGTGTTTTACTGCCGGTAGCAAAGGGCGTCCATGACCAGGTCAGTCAACGTAATTATGGCGCTTTTATTTCTGTTACTCTAATTTGTTCATTTTTTTAATGAGGGGCGGATGTATGTACAGAGTGTTCCAAAAAGTAACAGGAACATGGTGTAAGAACAAGGATGTTAGGAATTTCCACGATCAAACAAATATTAGCATTTAACATTTTCCACGATTTTTGGCCACTCTGTTGTTAAATGGAAGAGAAAACGCTTCGAATCAACCCAGTATCAAAGTTTTCATTTACAAAATCAACCCAGTATCAAAGTTTTAACTTACTAAAGTGCTTAATGAGACTTGTTTGGTCGTCTTTTACCGAAATTACAGACAAGGATTTAGAAAGAAAGTTTTACTTTTTACTTCACCTTAAATGTACTCAAAGCTGTTTGTAGACCCCTACATACTGTTAATGTACCCTCTTACACACTGTAAAAATGTACCCCAAGCACTCAGACACTGTACTGTAGTCCAATCAAACATGTAAATGTACCCTCTTGCACACTGTAAATGTACCATACTTACACACTGTAAGTGTACCCTCTTGCACACTGTAAATGTTCCCTTTTGCACACTGTA